ATCTTACATAAAATATAGAAAAATAACACCATCTTGATTGATGATATAAATTATATTTCATCCATTGACGACTACTTGTTATCAATAATTCAATAAGAGAAAATTAGATAATTCATCGTCACAGACAATAACAACATATCAACAAATTGAAAGCAGTCTATATGTTCTATTAATCAATTAGCACACAACAGGTTATTTTTTTCTTTCTCTCTTTCTTTCACTTCTATTTATCAACTTTATTCACACTTATCTTCTCATATAACTACTTCGCACATCTTCATTTTCTTCATTTCAGTCAATCAACTTCGAATTAAATTTAACAACAGGATTTGTTTATCTTATTACATATTCAATTTTTGGTTTCTTTCTTTTGTAGGAGCTAAAATGTTTCGAAAAGCTGAACAAGAAGCTCTTCTCGGTTTGTTTTATTTATTAATAAAATTAAATTGACAAAAAAACAAAGAAAACTTCTAAATTTCTAGCTGGTCATGGTCGTGTCAATCAATTAGGTGGAGTTTTTATTAATGGTCGTCCTTTACCTGATCATATTCGTCGAAAAATTATTGAAATGGCAACCAAAGGAATTCGTCCTTGTATGATTAGTCGTGAAGTATGAGATTTACTCATAAAGTAAAAAACAATTTTTGGAACTAATTCATTATGTTCTTTTTAAGCTTCAAGTATCTCATGGTTGCGTATCAAAAATACTTTCACGTTATGCTGAAACAGGTTCATATAAACCAGGTGTAAGTAGTCGACGACAAACTAAATTTAATACTCAACAAATAAATGATAATGATCTAACAATTGAAGAATCAGATGAAAGTAAAAGTAAGAATTGAAAATTTTTTGTCAAAAATCTAATTGAAATGAATTTTTTTTAGATAATTCACTTAATGAAACTTTACCAACACCTATAACAGCTTCTCGACGTCGTTATCGTTCATCGTTTACTATTGAACAAATACAAATTCTTGAACAATTCTTTTCTCGTACACCATATCCTGATGTAACAACACGTGAAAATCTTTCAAAATATTTAAATATTGAAGAAAGTCGTATTCAAATATGGTTTAGTAATCGTCGTGCTCGTACTAAAAGATCAACAACAACAACAACATCTAGTCCAATATCAACACATGAAGAAGAAAATATCGCATCATCATTTACATCGCTATCCATAGATATGAAACAATTTTCAACAAATAATAATGATAATTTTGATCCAACTATAACATCAAGTCCATCAACAAGTGAGTGAAATGTTTATTACTTCGTATTTTTTTTTTAATTATTTTTGTTTTAGATTATTGGCCATCAACATCGCCGATGACTCCTACACAAACTTATAATTCACAATATCCATTGACTGATTATTATTATTACCCATCAAATACCACATCCGTTTATCCGAACTATCCAATGTCATATTCATCTTTTCCTTCGTTCTATTAAATCCGTTATTGTAAATTGTCTTGAATTTTTATGTGTTTTTTTTGTTGTTACTCTGATGACTTGAACTATTCAATAAAAACTTTCTGGCATAAAATATAAGAGTCATGATGAACCGGGCAGGATATATGGATTACTTGTGAATCAAATTTTCGCTTGATTAGTTCTCAGAAATTCATAGAAAAAGTTTCTTATGATTTTTTAAGCTAGTATTAGCTAGGTTTCTCTTTTTGTCGGTATTATCTTTTCTAGAAAGCATAAGATATGTTTAACTATAAATTTTAAGAAAAATAATCTTGTCGTGTAGTCGAAGTGAATATTTTCATAGCACATTGCCAATGAGATTATCTTTCATTGTTCGAGTTTCGATTGATATAGAAATGGAATGCATATAATCGATTCTATATTACATAAACCAGTAAAACCGTCGATTTGATGTGCACGATACCGGCAGTAGTGTGATTAAACGTGCAACATGAGATATCTTTGAAAAGAAAAGCGGAAAAAACAAAAGTTCGTCCAGTGTTTCTGTTCGATTAAGACACTTTGATATACTAAGCTATTTCTTGGAATATAAAACATTTTTTGAATTGTTTTATCCGTATTGAATGCTTATTTATAGGAAATTGCATATATATGATCAATTAAAATCTTGTTTAAAAGTTCTTATAGATATGTATAAAAAAGATGTTGAAATTTAGAATAAAGCTGTTAGCGCAATCTATGTTAGATTAAAATGTGAAATACGATGTAATTGCTGTACTTAATTACAGGAATTGTTCTATTCTATATATTTTGGGACACATCTCTTCACCATTCTTTTAACTTAACTATCGAGAAATAGAATAAAGAAGTAGTTCATATATTATAACAAAGAGTTATTGATACACGGTCTTTGATAGTACATCAACAACCTGTGTGCAGGAAGTGTTCGAAATTTCTATCCCTATACTTCAAAACTGTTTTTAAATCGTGTTTCACAATAACTTGCTAATAAATCGTATGTGTGTGTCAGGGCTGGGCGAGTCCGAGTCATGACTCGGACTCGAGTCGACTCGAGTCACTTTTTTTTACTGACTCGGACTCGACTCGGACTCGGAAATTTCGAAACGATGACTCGACTCGAATAGTCGAGTCATTCTCGAGTCAGTCGTTAAAAGAAAGAGGTTTGGTTGGCTCGTATAAAAAATCACAATTTTTAAGATAAATTTTTCGCTTATACAAAACTTTCTCACCAATTGAATATGTTCGATCCTGTGAATTTTCAAAAGAAAATTTTTCGATATTCGTATTCATGTCGGATATGGCTGTCTACGCGTAGTATTAGATATGTGCTCTTTCGGATTGTTTTCTTTGCGCTCATTTTTGAAAGTGTGCAACATATATGTAGATAAATAAATGATATTTTTACATTATGTGTTCTGCTACATCAACAACGATTGAACTTGTCTTTTTTTCAATGTAATCTTTTAATGAAATCGAATCGTCCAAGGTTTACAGAAGCTACTATTTGTCTTTTACCATCTTTGAGATGCAATAAGACATTAATTTCTAATGAATAAATTCTGCGCTATGCTCCTGCAGAGCGGGAAGCAGAGGGTCCGAACCGTCACTTTTGAAAAGTAGTGACTTTCTATAGCGAAATTGCTGTAGAAATTTTGTTTTAAAATCTGAATATTACAACTTTCTCCTGAAGATAGTATGCGAAACTTCACGACAGATACATTAGGATCACCACTCTATTCCTTTGGGTACATTCTTGAATACATTTTGCTCGTAAACAGGTTTAGTTGTAACTTTCTGTTCATAAAAAAAGACACTTTTCTTTACTGTACAGTTAATCGTGCTGCTACTTTTGTAGTTAGTCTAGAGTAATTGTATCTTTTTATTTTATAGGTGGTTTTCCTTTTATCAATTTTTGTTCCTATGATCTTGTAATTAGATACTGTGCAACGAAAGTTTCTTATGAATCTTCTTAGTAAAAATAAACAGAGAAGAATGGCAAACCAAAAAAATTATTTGACTCGACTCGACTTGACTCGGTAACACCGATGACTTGACTTGACTCGACTCGAAATTTTTTTTATATGACTCGGACTTGACTCGACTCGAGAAAAGGCTTGACTCGCCCAGCCCTGGTGTGTGTGATATTATGAAGAACAGCAAAAAGAGTTCAGTAACAGCCACACACTTGTTTACACTGTTGTATTTCATTGATCGTTTCGTGAACCTTGAATACCAGCATTCATTTGTATCAGTACGTATTGAAATCGAGCTCCATTCCATGGGAGACATTGAATAAATTTGGATGTGAACTTTGAATATATTGATTGAAATAGTTATGGAAACCTACGAAGAAAGTTTTGTGATCTTGACAAGAAGGGTGTTATTTTCGAAAATATTATAAGTACTATGGTAATATCTGTTAACATTCCATATGCTAATGAAATATATTTTATTCATTTGATTTTATACAATAAATAACTACCAAGAATATTATAAGACAATGATTGACACCAATAGAACATAATTCAAAAGTAAATTGTCAATATTTTGATACGCTCGACATTTGTTCTTTTCAATCATTTTTATACCATACGAATGAATTCTGAAGGCTTCTGTGCAAAGTAAACTTATCAAAGGAAAAATGTAAATTATAAGATTTTTTTAAAAGGTAGAAGGAAAATTACAATTTGTAAGTGATAAGAGAGTCCTTTCTCTAGGTGACAAATCGCTATTCGATCGAAACAATGTTCATTTGATGAGTAATAGAAAAGTCTAGATTATTTTGATTTTCCTGCTTTTTTAGTATTTCCTTTCTGGAAATATAAATATATGAACATAATTTACTTATACATATGAAAGAATTTCGAATATTGAATATCTTTGGATAGGAAATATTATAAACGTTAGAATTTTCTCAATAAATTAATCTTATTGAGAATTTTGTTCATGCAAAATTTGCAGTTAAAACTCGAAAATCAATTTTCCACTTGACTTAAGGGAAACAAAAAATTCAGTAAAATTTCAATATCTCAAGAACGAAGATTCAAAGATACTATATCAAATTTAATATCAATTATAAACATATTTAGATGTTTTTAGTTACGTTTATTCAAAAGTCAAGTTAAAATATTTCAAAAAAAGATTGTTAAAATAAGAACTTTAAATAAATCTCAACATCTTTCATTTTTAAACAATAGTATCCATCTTCAAGTTTACTATAACATTTCTATTTGGATATCTCGGCTATGACAATTATTGCTGTTATTGTTTTTAGATAAGAAAGAAAACAGGGGTGCATACTAGCACCCCTGAATTTGAATAAATATAAATATTTTATTATATATAAAGAACGTAAAATACTTAACTCATCAACAAGTATTATTCATTCATATGATGCTGATAAAAATCTTTCATTAATATTCACAATTTTAATCGGTATGTTGATATAAAGTCTTTAAATTTATTCATTTATTTATTTATTTATTTCAAATATTCGTTTCAATTATAATTTAAAAAAAAAAATTTTTTTTTTATTGTCATTATTAAGCCCAGATTCCTATAATCGACATGGCTGCAACGCCAGCATATAATGCAATAAAATATAATAATTTTAATTTTTTGCTTAATAAATGAAATTCCTTAGCATTAGCACCCATTTCAGCTGTTATTAAATTAATAAGAGCAACATAAATAAGAATACCACCTGATATTGCTTCTAGAATACCATTGACAAGTAATGCAGCAATTGAATTTGGATTGTATGTTCCTGAATGAATACCAATACCTATAGCAATGCCAACTGGAGTTGTAAAAACAAAAAATATAACCATCAAAATAATTGATCGTAATGGTAAACGATCTAAACGAGCAAATTGTGCACCAAGTGCGATTGATTCAAAAAATTGATGAAAACATAATGCAATAAATAAAGCAACAAAAGATTCACTAGCTGTACCTAATGCTACACCAATTAGAACTGAATGAAGTGCTATACCAAATTCAAGTAAATATGCACTGATTTTATCAGTTTGAGGATCATTTTGAAGAGCAATACCATGATGATGATGATGATGGTGATGATCATGATCATGATGATGTTTTGGTTTACTAATTTCTACAGGTGTATTAACAACTACAGCTATTGAAGTTTCCATTTCTACTTGTTTTTGCATTTTAGGTTCTTCATTTTGACCGTTTGATATTGGATCAATCTTTGGTGGATGTCGTTCATGAGCAATGAATTCAATCAATTGCATAGCGAGTATAGCTAACATAGCAAAAAGACCCGCATAAGCGCTATACACATTCCATGATTCGGGTAAACAAGGACTTGTTAATAATTCCATTGCAGGTGGTAACATATGAATAAAACCTGTTCCTAGTATGACTCTAAAAAATAACATTGAAACTTCTGATTATTTTCTAAAAGTAGTCTATACATTTTATTTATCATACCCACTACCAAAAAATTTTCCTGTTGTTATTATAACTGGATTAATATAGAAACGTTTAACTCGTGTTGTAATAATTGAAAAACAAGTACCAAGAAATGATACAATTAATAGTACAAAAATTGATATAATATGAAGGTCTAAATTATATGAATTTTTAATGTCTTCATGTTCTAACATACATTCATTGTCTGTTGTTGTTTTCAACTTATTTCTTATAGTCATATTTAATTAATATGCCTTTCTTTTGTTTTATTGCAATAGTATGAACAAATAATATCTAGAATTCTTCTTTTGATAACCTCTTATATATTCTTCTCTTGTTTTACAAACCACTTCGCCTATCACCAACCCATAGGAGGAGATAGATATGCATATACGCCTGTGTAAAACTTGTTTTTGTTACACATCTACCAAGCTTTTTCATTTTTGTTTTATTATATTTATCGCCGTAAACGAACTAACATCATATATGAAGATTATTTTTCATGCTCGTTTGACAATGTCTTTTTTATCAAAGTATGTTTTTTTCATATGTAATCGATACATTGATACTTTTATTTTGTAGCTTGTAATTATATAATTTTATTATTAAGTGTTTTATAACAATCAATATCAAAGAAGAGTTGAGTTTTCTAGGTAAATAGAGATTTGAAAGAAAATGTTCTTATCTATCGAAAACAACATAATAAAATGTTAAATTTAATAAAGTCTTATAGTTGTAAATGAAAATACTACTTCAGCTTTAGCTTTAAGATTAAGTTCATAATCTAGACGAGCTCCAAGTGAACGTGCTTTTTCATCATAAAATAAACAAACAATTGATAATTCACATATAGATTTAAATCGAATATTTATTTTTTGTTGTTTATAATTTTGAATTAATATATTTGTTGTTATTAATGATGAATTTGTTTTTTGATTATTTGTTGTTGTACGATTATATTCTAATATAATATCAGGATCTTCACCTAATTTAAATTCATATTTTTCAAATTCAGTTAATGTTGGTAAATGCCATTCACCAGTAAGTACATTAGATGATGAATCATAAATTAATAAATGACCAGTTGGTAAAAATGATGAACTATTTGATAATTGATATAGACGTTGAAATTTATGTTTATTTGAAATAATTGATACAATATTATTTGTAGATATTGATGGCATAGTTAAAACAAGTGTATAAATAAAAACTGTTTTAATATGAATATTAAGTGATTGAATTGGTAATGTAAGTATTGAATAAGGATCAATTTTTAATGAACTATTCATAGATGAAAATAAATGAATACCACTATAATCAATATTAGTTTTAGTTGAAGTTTTTGCATCAATTAATGATGAAATTTTATTTGTACCAAATGTAAGATCTATATCACCTGACATTAAATGTGTTTCATTAAATTGATATGTAAATGGACTTGTATTAATAATATCAACTAATATTTGAAATTTTGTTGAACGATCAGAATATGTTTGAAGTATATAACGTGGTTGCCATCGAAGATTTTGGATAATATAACTAACAATAAAAGACTGATTTGATGGTATAGGATGAAAAGAAACTTCATAGATTGAATTTAATTGTGGTTCATCAACATATTCAATAAGATTAGATTGAACACGAAAATAATGTCCTGTTTCAATTTCACGTACAAGTGAATAACTATTATCTTCATTAATTATTTCACAAATAATAGGAAATTTATGTTCAGGATATCTACGAACAAAGACTTTTTTACCTGTGAAGAAAAAAAAAAATGTTGAATAATAATAAATATAAGAAGTATTCATTGTATTTAATTACCTGTCATATTTATATGAAGTCGAATAATTTTTCGTTCGAACATAGTAGTTGTATCATTGATATGATCATCTGATGATGATCGCAATATAATACTTTCATGTTTGATATTATTCCAATCAATTTGTTGAAAACGAAGTGGTCCATTGTATTCTTGATGAATTTCTGCAAATGAATCGTATAATCGAAGAGTATGATCAAATGGTATACTCATTGGCATAAATATAGATAATAAAATAAGTATAACAACGATATGAAACAGCATTGTTATTCGTATTAAAAAATTTTCTCAAATGAATACAGGAATGATTGAATTTGACATTTATTTATAATTGATCAATACAAATATGATTCAAATTACTGAACATATACAAACAAACGTTTTAAAAATGATATCTGATACTAAACTATTCTATCGTTCATAGTTTATAATACTATACGTGTGTGAAGTAGATCAACAACATTGCTATTTAATACTATTGTCATTCTATTGTTTTTGTTCTTTCGTTTGATTGAATAGGTAACTTAAGACAGAATGATAATATGATTTTGTAGACGATTAGTACTTATTTGTTTAATTAGCTATATACAATGGTCAGTACAAAAAAAAAAAAACAACGATTATAGGTGCATATTACGCATTCAAAATATATAAGTCAAATCAATGAAAACAAGGCATAAACATCTACGATTTCACTTTGATTTTTTATAAGAATTTTTTTTGTTTTGAACGAATTTTTTCTCAATGAATATATAGAAAAATATTAGATCTTTCAGCTCATACTTAATTAAATTTAATTAGCGAATACCTCTCTAATATTATGATGAAAAATTCGAAGAATTTTAGAATAGACTCCATACTAGAGATTATATTTATGGAGAAGTTTTCAGCAAGATCGGATTTCGAAAACTGGTTTTACAGAGATTTGCCCTTGTTCCAAAATGAGACTTTTGGTTCTGATATCATCTCGTGATTCCCAAGGAGGATTTGTACCAATTAGAATTGATGAATTATTTAATTTTCAAAAAAATACTGTTTGAACTTACAGAATTTGTAAATGGAAAAGCACACAGTGAAAACCTTTATTCTTTTTTGTATCGCATCGCCGTCGCTTGTTTTTCAATAATAAATCAGCGGAACTGAGGTCTATAGTACTGATGTTTTCAGAGTATCTAGAGTAACTCCACATATATCTGTTATATTAAAATTAATTAAAAGAAATACCAAGGGCTAAAGATATAAACATTTTTATTTTGAGAAATTGCATCGTTAACAAATAACACTGCCCATATGTTGAACGCTTTCTAGCTCTTAGTTATAGCAGGTATATACATTTTTAATTGCGATTTGTTATTTTTTAGTCAATCGATTAATTTTAGTTATATCTATAAGACAATTTAAATTGTTAGAGTAGTTTTCTGTAAAAAAAAAAGTTCCCTTAGAGACTTCCATTTATTACGAGAATCATATTATAATGATTTTTCAAGTATTTGTAGTTTATTTTTTTAATATATTCATGAAAGAAATACCATATAAAGATGAGGGGAAAGAAGATGAGAATGATTGATAGACAATATACGAACAAAAGTATTTATGTGTACGCGAAAAGGAGGAAGAAAAAGTAGAACACAGAGAAGAAAATGATGATATAGAAAGCGATCACTAACAGCGATAAATGTATGATCAGCGAATCCGTCACACATATATCATCGATGGATGGTTTTCTTTCGTTTTTCCAACTAAAATAACATGGTACAAATGTATTTTATTAATGCTGGAATCAATAGAGCACAACACTAGATTGAATTTGTTCAATTCTTTTGTTTTATTTATTTTACTTCTATTGTCGTATCTCATTAAATGCCCAGCTGCTGTAGAACTTCACTATTGTGAATAGTGTTGAAATTTCGAAAAGTATTTTCATATATTCTATTTTATGTGTTCAATAATCATTCTATCAGAATTTGTATTGAACGAACGAATCGTGATAAACGGTGACCAGTAAAATAAAATGGCTATCTTTGGTCTGATCATTTCTAACCACATTGTTATTGAGATTTATGCGAGAGCTACTAAAAGTAGTAGTAAACCTTTCCACGCAATAAAAGACCCTTGGTCTTATATTATATCCAAGCGTACAAATTTTTCTGCAGAGTCTTGTAGGATGTCTCATTTATTCTCCTAATTTTGGTTTCAAAAGATTTTAAAAGCTCAGAATTAATCTTAATTTATACCTTTTAAAATTTTATTTCATCACAAATTCTTGAAAACTATAGACATATCGATATTTTTCAGAGGTGAAGGCGAGGGGGAGAACTAAAAATTCGGCTGAAAGTGATGTATGTTCAGATTTCTAATCAAGTAAATTTCCGCATCTAAAGAAACTTTCATCATCATTTGAAAACAACAACCGAAAACTTATGGAAAATTATCGAAATTTTCAGAAACTTACATCAACTAAGCTTGGCAATAAAAAGTGAACATAATTCAATAAGAGGAAAACTTCTCCACAATTACAATATCATGTTGTGCAAATTACCGTGATTTTGGTGATTTCAAAAAAAAAATCGGCGTAAAATCATGATTATGGTACAAGACACAATATTTTGAAAATCGTCGATAAACTAGAGTGATAAATCGTGTTTAAACATCGATTTCAGTAATTGATTGCGAAATATGAATCAGTTAGATAAATGTTCCAAGATTTATAAAACGTAGAGTGAAATATAATTTCTATAAAATTTTTTTTTGACATAATCAACGAGATTTGAAAGGCAAGGAAAAATTTGGTTTCGATATGGATGTCACTACTGTAACATGAATGAGATTGGACAATTTTAAAAAAACTATCAAATTAAAACCAAACTTCTTGTTGACATTCATTTGTTTTAAAACGTTTCTTTTAAATACGCTTTCAGATAACGTTTTTTTCTTCAATTAGAATTCTTTTTGTCATGCATTCAGATTTAGATGAATCTCCAATGAATGAAAAGTTCAGAAATTCTTTTATGGGATGGTGTCTAAATAACTCTAGACATTATCTGGAAATTTTGTTGCTGTATAACAGTTATCAAGGAAATTGCTGAGAAATTTACTTTTGATTTTCTTATATTTCTAAGAAATTTCCTGGAAAGAGCTGTATTTTCGAGCAGATTGTTTCGATTTCTGTATTTGATAATTATAGTAATTTCCGAACTTTGGTATTTCTCTGAGAGTAGTTTCTAAAATTTGATAATTTATGAGACAAATTAATTTTTTTGAAAGCCTGAACACTGCTGCTGAAAGTTCGAAAATTCTCGCAGAAAGTACTAGCAGTGGTGCTTGAAGAGAAGAGATGAACGAAACCCACCGTGATCCGAACTCTCCCACAACAGACATCTTGCCACTAGGACGTCCTTCCCTCAGAGTCTATCTCACTCCTTATTCATCTCGTAACAACATTGTTTGCTTATTTTTATGACATTTTCTGTCAGAGAAAGGCAAATGACGTTTCAAAATCTGGTTTCTATTCAAAGTTGAAGATGTAAAAAGTTGGCAGAAAGTCAGCCGTTTTGCGAAGGGGAGCCTCCTATCAAGAAACAATGGTATTGATCTTTAATGCCAAGGCTATTTAAAATCTATTGTTTTTTTATAAAACAGTTAGTGATATTATATTGGCGTATATAAAGTCATTTTGTTCATGTTATTTACTATATCACGTATCTTTTCATTAGACCCTCGACCTAACACGTGTATATCAAACTTCTCGTTTTCTTTTCTTCATATTAATACTTTTCTTTCCCTTTATCAGTCATTTGCATATATATATATTTTCAATAGAAACGATACATAATAGTATAATATTTAAACAAATGTCGAATCTCTATCTTTGTCCCGATGGTAAGTTATTCTTATTCTGATTAGTTGAGACAGTCACATTTATTAAGTCATAGATTTTTGGCGTTGTCCAATTGATCTCAATCATCAAGTACTTGCTAAACGATTTCAATATCATATTCGACGATGTATGATTGTAAGTCGAGACTTGGTTTTTTTTTTGGGTATTTTTATTTAGAAGAAAATTATGTATCTTTCATGATTTGTTGTAATATATGAACAATAACGCTGTGTGCTTTTTTTTCATTGGCTTCTAGGCCAATCCTCATATTCGTCGTGTTCGATGTGTTTTTAATGCTAATCATTTAACAACACCGAATGATTTACTTGCTCATATGTCAACATGTCCTGATGCAATTAATAGAAGTACTGTACTTATTGGTCTTTCCGATATTCGTAAGTGTTTTAATATAGAAAAAAAATTTGATTGAACAAAATAGAGAATATTGATATTCATTTTAGCACCAGGTCGACCTTGGGTTGATACTTGCCGTCGATCATCTTCTCCAAATGATTGGCAAATGTTTCATGATGTGAATGCTACCGAAGATTGGGATGGTAATAATTTTGATCGATTGTTTTTTTTCATATGACACGTGTATTTAACAAATAGATGATATTCGTGAACGACGTGCAAGAAGGGCTGCAAGCAGGTAAGTAAATGAAAATATTATGTATTTCAGTATTTATCATCTAATAATTTTTAGTGAACAAATGATGATTTCATCTTCAATTCAGTTCGTATTTTCTATTGTTTTATTTTTTATTTTCTCAACTATAGATGTTTTATCAAGAATACTACCATCATCTTCACCATCATTGACCAGTCAACGTTTACATGAGAAACAACAGAAAGATGTTGAAGATGTAAATCAAAAAACAACAGTAGATAGTTATACACCTGTAACTGTTATCAAACAAGCACGTATGTTCAAAATGTTAATGTACGAAGAAAGAACTTTTTTTTTTGTTACAATGTTTATTTTTTTATTAAAGATGTTTTTAAAGAACATGATAATGATGGTTTAATTCATCCAGTCGAAACTGATGAACTTACGTGAGTTTTATTTTTCATTTCTAGTTTTACAAGATTTATTCTGTAAAGAATAGTTGAAATGATGGGATAAGTTTCGCATATTCTAGTTTTTGCCAAATGCAAGAAACATACAACTAGAACAAATTGAATTTGTTAATATGATTGCACAAAAGTTTTTCATGTGAATAAATCAAATTTAATTCAAAAAATCCTTTTCTTTTCCTCAAAATAACAGAGGAAGTCAATACTTCTGATTATGTTTTAAAAAGGAAAGAATAGTCCAAAAGTTTTGACCTCACACAGTTGATTAATGTTATCTATGACACACACACACAGATGTATAATTAACTGATTGAAAAAAACATAATTTTATAGAGAAACAAAAAAAGCTACCATTTGAAAAATAATATTTGCGAAATACATAAATATTTTCTTCATTATATTAATCGTGAGCAAAGTATTTTCATCTTACATTGTTATAGTTTTTGTTAAAAACCTTCGAAGTGAATACATGGAACACTTGTCACATTTCTGGCAAAATATTTTTGTTGCACTTTTCCAAGCGGATCAGATAGGAAGTCGACAGAAAATCATATAAAAATAACTGTCTCCGCATGATGATAGGAAGTTGTAGTTTATCCAAATACATTCAATGTTTATCTACAGTATACATTTAGAAAGGTTAGATTAATGTCACCTTCTTATCTTGATTCTGATATGTAGTATTAGATGAAAAGAATTTTGATTAATATGTATTCTTGTTGATTCTCATGTAGTAATTTTTTCGTTTGTTAGCAAAAATTTAATGAAAATTCGAACATTACAACTTATTGGCGGTGCTGGTCGTGGTACCTGTTGTTTATTGCGTACAGTTTCACCAGTACTGGTAAGTATTGGTTTTTTTTTGTTTATTTTATTCTGTCATATTTATAGTTATTGATATTTTATTTTATTTTTTTCTATGTTTAGGGTTATTCGCCAAGCAAATCACCATGAACAATCATTTAGTTTGTTTTTTTTTTGTTATTTTTTTTTTCTATTATAAACATGATTTGAAAAAGAAAAACAGCGATAAAAAAATCTAAATTATTTGTACTTAATTTATTCTGCTGTGTATCTAAGACAAAAACTAATCTATTATCTATCATCGTATGTTCTTTCTTTCATAACCACTATTGACACAACATATTTCTCGCTATGTAATAACTATGTCCTACTGCATATATACTCAATAGATCGTTTACGATGGAAACCTTGAAGCTTATCTTGTTGGTGTTGATATTAACATTACGGAGGAGGAAAAATATATTATATATCAGTCAACTGTTTTTTTGTCTATCTGTAAGCTAAGATTGTATTCAGAATATAACAGTACATACTTGCATAGAATAGAATGATATCCAAAATTACTTTTCTCACCATAATTTTTTACTGTAAGTTATAATACAAATAATATAGCAAAAAAAAAAACCAATATTCCTATTTCGAATATTTAATCTTTATAGTAGCTGTCGTTCAATTGGACTGTAGTGGAGCTAAGATTTGTTATCAATGTGACGATAAAAATCCATCTAGTAGATTTAAACTTGTCGGTGAAAAAATAACGAAATGTAATGGTGTACCATTTGAAAAATATGCTTCAAGAACTTCAAAAGCATTTGGTGCTGCTGTTTTAACATGTTTTACGGTACTATATATTTTATAAGATATAAAAATATCAATTAAAATACATTTTGATTTTTTTGATTTTTTTAAAGAAATTCAATGAATCTGGTGCTGTTATTAAACGAGGTGCATTTGGACTTGGTGAAACATATGATAAAAATTTTAAATGTCGAGATCGTTTTCATATATGTTGTAGAACAGGTTATTGTAATAAACATACTAAAGCACCTTGTCCACCACCATGTTAGTATTCAGTCTTCTATTTCTACATTATAAAAATCTTTTTTTAATATAGCTATAATATCAACCAAGAAACAAGTCAAAGCATGTTATCAATGTAAGGGTACTGAAGCTTGTAAACCAGAAAAACTTTCAGGATCTGAAATTCGTACATCAGGTGCTTTCGGTGGTAAGAATTTATACTGTTATACGGTATGTAGTAAAACGAAAATATAATTTATGATTTTCTCTTTCAATTTTATTACTATTTATTTCTTTTTGTTTTTGTTATTGTTATTGAATAGAAATTCGATCCAAAGACAGGTGCCGCTGTTCGTCGTGGAGGTTTTGGATTTGGTGAAGCAATCGATAAAAATCTCAAATGCGATGCTAAACATTATTTATGTTGCTATGACAATTTGTGCAACAATCAAATAGCTGGTTTTTGTGCCAAACCAAAATAGTTCAATTGACTGGAAGAGACTCAATTATAGATGTACGCGTGCTGTGTGCCTTAGTCTGAACAATTTTTATTTTACGTCGTTTATTTTATTTCATAACAAATATAAGACTTGTATCAATTTAAAAAAAAACATCATAGATTCGTCTAATAGAATGCATGAATCACTTGTTATTTAAACTTAGAATAAAAGAGAATTTTCATCATATTCAAATTTTCTATTGAAATATTGTTAACGAGGAAATCTTTCTAATTCGAAAATCGCTTTTGAGTTCGAACTCTTTTAATCTATAATACGATATGTACAAAAGAATCGAATAACGATATTTTGATCTGAAATTTTGAGGACATTCTAATTATAATTGAGCCTATCTATTCACAAAATTTCAGGTCGAACTATTGTCATTCAATTTTTTTTGGTACATACCGTGCTATAGCCTAAAATGGCTATAACTCTGTAGGAAAAACCTACAAGTTTTTAATACCTCATTGAGATCGACCTTTGTGAACTCAAAAGCGATTTTCAAGTTGAGAAATATTAAATTGAATATTTTAAAAGGTAACTTACTTCGGAAATACAAAAAAAAAAAAAACAATCATATCAAATTTATAAAATACATATATGAGTATTATTATCGATGTATTGTTGCTTATGAACTTAATGAAAATTTATGATTGTTATTTTTTCCTCCAGCTAATAGTTTAACTGAAGGAAAAAATATGAAGTACTCTTAAATTTGTAATTATTTTATTTTTTCTTAACAAATAAAGGTAAACGTTTTTATCATAACTTATAAAAATACTTGGAAATATTTTTATAATAGAAAAAAAAAAATTATCAATTTGTTTCAATTCATGAACGATTACTTTGACCTACATTTGCATATATTCAAATTTTATTTTCAATATTGTAGCTAGAAAAATATTTTGTATTAATCAAACAAGTTATCTTATGTACTCATCAAATATTTTATTTAGGACATGTATTGAGAATAAAATAATTGTTTCATTACAATACACAAAAATATTACTATGAACCCATTAATTGATAAAAACATTCTTTTTTTAGTAAAACAACAAAAATAAACATTTAAAAAGACGTGACCTCTTTTTTTTATTAAGTCATGAACGTGCATGACATTAAACAATTGAAATATATTAACATTTGCTTAATACAAAGCTTACCCACAAGGGAGTCATTCGAACGGATATCACTATCTTAGGTCATATTGATCTTTCAAGCAATTCTTGTTAAAACTATAGAAAAGATCAAAAGAGTTCGTTTCCAGGCGTTTTTAGTGTCAAATTAAGATCGGTCTACTGAATTTTCAATTCAGCTTTAGATAAATATCAAAAAGAAATAATTAAAAAAAAAAGTAATAGAATTTTGCCGTAGTCAATTTACTGGTAGAATATCTAAGAGTTTTTAACTAAAATTAATGTTTTTTTTTTTTTTTATATCGAGATATTAATTTTCCAACAATAATCTTTTGCCATAGGCATAATATAAAACTCGAGTTTAATTAGAAATTTAATATATTGATGAAGAAACATTATTTTCAACTACAACTTTTAAGATATTCTACAGGGAAATCGATTTACTAACTCGGTCCTAAAAGCTCATAGAGACAAAACCCTTTAAAAAAATTTTTTTTTAATTTCATCAAAACATTCTTATCGATCGAATATGATCTCAAATAGCGGGTATCAGATTAAATAGTTCTATTATTCTCAACATTCCAGAACCAATTTCATTGATATTTTTAAATCAATGAAAAATAAAAAAACAACATCAACACTATTATTTATCTGTTCAATTGAGAGACAAAATACATTTCCGATTCAAACATAGATATCAGTAAAACATGATAAATAACGTTTGTTAATCTAATGTGATAGTGACTTCACTGGTGTATTATTATTATTATTATTATTATTATTTTTATTGTCTTCAAGAAAGGAGAAGAGATTAGTCACTGTTATACGTTATTAATACACGAAAAAAGAAATCCAAATCATTAAATCAAACTTTTATCCATATACATTTTGATGAATAGATGGACGATAGAAGAAATAAAAAGGAAAAAGTAAAAGAGAAGACCAATCACCGAGGAGATTTATTGGGAATGATAAAATGTAATGCTTTTTGTTTTTTGGTTTCAAGGCAATGATTTTTCTTTAGGTGGTGATGATGATGAAATGGGTGTTGTTGGTTGTGGATAATGATTGTTAGTTGTTGGATGTGAGCTCGGTGTTGACGATATCATTGATGAATCAGGTTCAGCAAAAAGTGGATTACGTACTTCCATTTCTCCTGTCTATATAAATAGAAAACAAAACAAAAAAACAATTTTCGATTTTCATATTGAATATGAAAGAAGAAAACAAAAAAAAATTTAACGTACAGGAGCGAGACCAGGACATTCATATACTGTATAATCTCCACCTGCAGGTGTTTCATCATCCGAATCATCTGAATGGACTGGTTTTGCATCTAGATGAGCTCTATTAAGAAATAGAAAATAAAAAAATATTCTAAGATAAAAAAGAAAAAAACATATTTTAAAATTATACTTTTCTTGTGCCATCATTTGTTGACGTTGTTGTTGATAATGATACATTTGGGCACTTTGGGCTAATTTTCGATCAGACATTGTTGAACTTGGTGAGATTTTACTACTGCTAGAAACAGGTCCTGTAACACCATATGATGGATATTCGGCATCAACTGCTTCTTCTGCTCTCTTTTGAATTCTATTCAAAAAGAAAAAAACAAAGTCGTCATATTTGACATATGACACACATAAGACACATGAGCTTGCTTCTCATTAATTCTACATAATTTATATTTATGAAGCAACTTATTATTATCTTTATATGTGCATAGTGTAAAGAGTTTTGTGCTAAATAAGTACTCAGTACTTTTCAAGGACATTATATAAAATATTTAAAAATTCATAGAATAAAGGAGCAGTTTTTATTTATTTTTTTTTAAGATAAGTAATTATTTAATTCAACATAATGTAAAGTCACTTCGCTCCATATCAAGGCAATGCCATAGGCAAAATTTTATGTCTTTAATAATGGTAATTATATTAACACCATTTTTTCTTTGACACAATGACTTTTACTTTTTAACAGCCTGTATATACTCAATTATTATAGAGAATATTTTAAATACTTTTCTTGATATAATCATCTTTAGAAGATTAATTAACTGATAATCTGTCCATACTTTTTTTTTCAGATGTTTTGAAGTTGAACACTTACTTGTACCAGAAAATAGCTGCGGCAACGAGACCCACAAGACCGACTACACAACATGTTCCCACAATTACTATGAAAAAAAAACGAAGAATATTAAAATTTTTAAAATTTATTTATTGAAAAAAAAATTGAATAAAAAATTTTCTTATAATTCTATAATATTCTTATTCTTTTATGCAGGATTTGTCATTATATATAAAAGAATTTTTAATTATTTTTTTTATCGGATATATAATCTGTGAAGAAAAAAAACAAAAAAGAAACTTCTATGCTGAGTGAAAATAATAAATTCAGTTGTGAAAAAAATTACCAATCATTTTTAGATCTTGATAAGACTAACAAAAATTCAAAAAAGAATTTCGTTGGTATTCATAAGTCTTTCTTCTGTGATAATCGAACTTGTAATAAATTTTTTTGTGTCTGAAAATCTAATTTAAATAGTTATCTTCTTTTCAAGATATCTGATGCAAAAAAAAAGAAATCCTATTTTCTTTCTTCTCATATTTGATATCTTAAGATAGTATTCATTATTATAATTAAAATTCTTAAGAACATTTTTCAAACTAGATAACGTACTGAGAGATGACATTTTCCATTGAATTTCTTTCATTCAAGTGTGCCAGTAAATGCGTTGTGAATCAGAAATGAAATCAGTACCGGTTATCAGCTAGTCGCTGGTCTATCTTATTTTCCTGCTTCTATCATATAGGCTTATTTAATACTAGTATTAATCTAAAGGCTATCCGTATAGAAATTATGTAATAAAATTTTTGTTGATAGTTGACGATATCAAAGTGTGTTTTTATAATCAATTTAATAGTTATATAGTTAAAAACTTTCTGTCAGCTGCAGAGATGGAATCGATAGTAGTCGTCAACAATCCAGACCAATTCTATCTATCTTGTGAAGTATTGAACGCTACATTAAGTATTCTGAGATTGAGGAAAGAATGAGTATGCCTATGATTTTTTTTTTCATAGAAAATGATTCTTTCATAAAATGAAGTACTTTTGACGTCATGCTATTCAATCTTTTTGAACTTCAATATATTTAATAGAAGCTTACCAATAAATAATGTATCATTACGTCGTTTTTTTCTTTCAATAGAATTTAATACTGCATTCGTTTGTAAATATTCAACTCGTGCATTAGCTCGATCTATACTCCATGGTTCTTCAGGAAAATGTTGATCATTAATTTGAGCATGTTTGTTCATGAATACTTGTGTTTCACTATCATCGTTCACTTTATTTTCAATTGGTCCATCTAATGAATATTGTTCATTGATTTGTTTTAGGCTTTCTATAAAATAAATTCTAGAATCATTTTTTATAATTCAATAAATTTTATTCATACCCGGTACAACTTCATTGACGATTATTCGACGTTTTTTTTCTACTTCTTTATCAATCAATTCTTCCCAATCAAAATTTTCTCCTCGTTCTATAAAGAAGAAAAATATTTAGAAAATTATGCATGGTATTTAGCCATAAGCAAAACAAGGAAAATATTTTTTATCGACGTTAAATTTTTTTTTTTTTGATTACCTCAAGTAACAGTACAAAAAAGTAGGTTTTTTTTTCTTTTCTGCCTCTCTCTCTCTCTCGGCTTTCCGGTTTTCTATATATAATAAGCGGAAACAAATTGATCATGTTTTTTTCCTATTTTGTTTTGGGATTTTGTTATTTTCAAAACAAAGATTCGAATAAAAAATTAAAAGAAATAAAAAAATAAAAAACAAATATGTAGGTTACTTTCAAGTTCTTCTAGTTCAAATGCTGATGGTGGTATAAATTCATCACTTATTGTTTTTTTAGTTGTTTCTTGTATAATTTTTGGTTTTTCTATTTGTTGATTCGTTGGATGTATTTTTGGTAAGGGAAGATAGAAGATACGCGAAGCGTCAATTGTTGTTGTCACGACAAGGACAAATAGAACGATATTATTACTTACAAATATTTTCATTATTTTCGTGTATGTTTACGGTTTGATATATATATATATATGTATAGAATATTATTTTAATACTATGAATGTCTTCACCGGTAATGTTCGCGTGCGTGTATGTTGGTTCACACGCGCACAGAAATGCTCTAATGTCGTTGTCAGCGTGTGGAACTCGCCGGATAGTATTCTTGTTTTTGTTCAGATTTTTTTTTTCTATATGAGAATTTCCTTTTTTTTCTCGCTGTCTGGAATTCTTTTTCTCGTTTTTTTTGTCGACTGACGATGATGACGTTCATATTGTGAGCTTTACAAGAAGAAAAAAAAAAGAATTTCGCACGCATTACGACTGAATATGAGAGAGAGAGAGACAAAGAAAAACAAGAAAAAGAAATTACAGCTCTAGACAACAACACCAGCTTGATTCGCTAATGCATACTTAAAGAGCATAGTACTTGATATTTATTCAGAAACAATAAGATAAGATTTTGTTGAAATTAAAATTAAATACTACTACATATTTTTTTTCTCCTAAAGGTCAAAATGAACGTTAAAATAATTTCTTTTTTTTTTAACATCTGTTGTTTTTTTGCTTTTATTCATCTATTCAAGTTCAATTTCATTAAGAATTGTAATCATGAGCTCATGTGATAATATTTTTTTGCTTCCTTTTTCATCTTTTATTTTTGCCTTGTTTTTTTGTGCGTAAGTAAGAAAAAAAAACAAGGAAAAAAAGTTTATTATTCGAGAATAGAATATTATGAGTTATTCTTCAAAATGAATCTAGTAAATAAACAAAATCGAATAAAAATCAAACCAATAAATAAAAATTACACAATGATTGATTTCATCGAGGGGCAGGGAACACTTAGGACAATCATTTCACCATTTCGAAATATTTTTCTCAGTAGAAAACATTCAAAAATAAGTCGACATATTTTATGACTATGATCGTCTGCCTTTCTCAAAATCCTAGATTCATCATTGAATTAAGTCTTATTGAATGTTTGAAATAGTCCTTGACACTTATTATGAGAAACATTTACATGATAGACTCACCTTTAAGAACACGAATAGCGAAACAAGTATGTTGTTCATTTAAAACTGAATAACCACTGAATAGAAGAAGAAATAATAAAGATGTAAATCGATGTACAAAAACCAGATATACCATTATTAATATCATCAAGTAGATTGAGCCCTACTTCATTGTCTATATCCTCAGAATGAAAACAGTACACAGGAAATAAGATGTACGTATGAATAAATAATATCAATCAGTTATTTGAAAAAAAAACATAATCTAAAAATATAATAGCAACCACAATTGACCAAAATCCAATAAGAATGAAAAGAAAATCGGGCAAAAGTAACAGCTGTCGAATTAACTTGAGTCGTTTTGAGGTATTACCTATTACAATACTAATATTTATTCACATGCATTGAGAGGACTGCTTAATAAATGATCACAATTTTCGTTTTTTTTTTTTCGTGTCCTCAACGAATATTTCAAATAACACAATTTATCATAAAGAAAAATAATTAACCGTATGTGTCGGTTGTACCAATGCATCAATTATACTATGTACAATGACATACAACGAGTAGTATGCCAATATACAATTCAGAAATTGAAAAATAACAACTATAAGAACATTCAAAGATCATGTAGAAAATTTTTCTCTTCATCGATATGAATAGAATTCTTTTCTAATTGACATCGTATTTGAATGAATTATATTATGAAGGCTTTTGACATATGTACAACAGATGTCGTTAGTAACTAGATTTGTATGACACTTTGATATAATTTCAATATTTTGTTGTGTTTATATAGTGAATAAAAGTAATTTAAACATAAAAGAAAAGAGTTCTATTTGAAGTTTTTCTTTTCTCTATGTCATCACATGTTAGTTAGATGTAAAGAAATCATTTTTACGTTCTTTTTCTTTTGATTAACCCCTTTACTCTATGTCCTTTCAATTACAATTACATTGACAATCCCGAACGGATGTTTTCTAACGATGACTGCTTACAACCAATTTGACTAATGTCAAAATATCGACGAAGTTGTTTTTTTTCTTTATAGGTTTTGATGTTATATTTCTTTTTTAAGTATTTATTAAAGTTATTAGCTAAAATTCTTTCAGTTATATGTTAACCAACTGTTATTGAACAAATTCTAGTTGGTATTATCTTGTATCTGTTAAATTACATTTTATATATTTGATGTTTGTTCACGTATATTTGCTATGCATACATTTAAAGTCACTTCAAATGATTATTTCATTAGATTTAATCTTTTTTTTTTTTGCTTTCATGTTTTATCTCAAACTTAAAAATAAATCCGAATAAAGTACGTCTTAGTCAACATTATTACTCTGACAGATATTAGGCGTGCAACAACGCTAGACGTTAGTAAAGTATTATATATTTTATCAGTATGAAATATCGTTTTCATTTGTTAATATCATTGATTAATATTTTAATGAAAGTGCTTTTTTAATTAAATATTACTTTTCTGTTGATCAAGGTATTTTGATAATTAGGATGGTTGCAATTCAAGATATTTGTATTCTTTTATTAATTAGGCTTTTGTTTTCATTTTCTTCTACTTGATTTTACAAATTTTTCATTTAAAAACTCATCTATATAGATATTAAATATTCTTCAGTCATCATATTTACTTATTGATTTAGATTTCTTTTTTTTTTGCACTTCTATGGCTAAGATAATATCTAGTGTATTAATGACAAATTTAATAACAAGAAAAAAAAAATGAAGCCTAGTCGAGGGATTTGTAGCAACGTCAAAGGTCAAAAAAATGTTCACTTTACCTAAAGTTCGCTAAGAATATATGGGACTTTGCATACCTAATGAAATATCATGTATATCAGTAGTTATAGAAGAAGCAAAATAATAAATACTCCAGCAACGGATATTTCTTTCTTCCAGTGGATTTTTCTTTCTATATGAACTGATTCATTTAGATAAATATAAGAGAAATTTGAATAAATTTAAAGTAGATAGACAAATTTATTATATATATATGAGAGATAAACTGATATTTCTTTTCCTCTTACAAAAAATAATGATAATCCATTGAAAGAGAAAAGTGACACATAATGATAGTAGAGTCCTTCTAAAGTCCGTTGAGTAAAAACAAAGTTCCGCTGAGAAATAGATAAGTTAAGTATATTATCAGTGTGGCATAAATTTTGTGTTCTTTTGATTGACTAATAAAGTCCTTCTATTCACTAGCGGACTTTAGGTAAAGTGGACAATTTCGGGATCTTTGATAGCCCTAACAACATTGATACAGATACTATTTTTTAAATAGTCTATTTAATACCCAATTAAAATGATATAGTAAATTATCCAATTTTATTTTAATAAAATGTAGGATTTTTTATTCGAAAGATCATTTTAATGGAAAAAAATTGAATTCATTTTTCAGAAAATATTTCATAACTTATTATTTTTTGACATTTAGAACTTAAACTTCATATCATTTTATAAGCTTGAAAACCAGCTGATTGTACAGCTTGAATAATTATATCATCCTCAATAGGAACATGTGTTATTAAATCAGCTTGACCAGAATCAAGATCAACATTAACACTAAGAATTCCATTGATTTTTTGTAATGATCGAATAGCAGCTAAACGACATGATTCACAATGCATTCCAATTATTTGCCAATGTGTTATAATAACATTTTTATCTAATGTATCATTTGTAGATAATTGATTATTATATATTCGAAGAATATCAGGTGAAAATATTAGAAACAATGCTAAAATAATAATCATTGTAAAATGCCATTTTGATGGACGATAACGAAAATATGAATAAGTTAATGAAATAATACTAAGTGAAATGAATATAGGTCGATAGGGTAAAAGAAAAGTATTTAATCCAGCACATCCAATACCAAATAAATTAAGAAATAATGGTAAAAAACAACATGGGCAACATAAAAATATCAAAGAACTACCGAAAAGATAATTTCTCCAGCCAACAGGAATCATTTTTCTTAATCTACAATATAAATATTATATTCATATCCATTATCATTTGAATCTAAGTAAATAGAAACAGTTAATATAATATTTCGAAACTATCAAATTTGATAAATTATTGAATGCAAATAAATAACGTTATCAAACAGAAGCATAGAATTCTTTAAAAAACAAACTTTTCTGGAATATTATTAATCAATAGTGATAAACAATTCAAAATTTAAACCGATCTAAAACCTTTTGTAACAAATTTTGCATTTTATTCTCATTAATTTTATGCTGAATGTTGTTCTCTTTTATTTTCAAGTTTTAACAAAAAAAAAAAAATTTACAAAACAGAATGTTTGTGAGTCTTTTTTTTATTTCTCATTGTTCTGATGATGTGGTTCCATTTGATTTTCGTTGTTTTCGTAAATTCATAACTTCTTTTTCTAATTCATTTATCGCACGTTCAATTTCATAATTTTTACCAACAAGGCCAACCCATCTAAACATAAACAATAAATATCCAAATCAAAGAAAAGAAAAAATATTTATTAAACTTACGTTTGTTCAAGTGCACTTAATTTACTACCTGCCTGTGTTTGTTCATTTTTACGTTTAAAATTTATTTCTTGAATATGTTTTCTTAAAAAGCAAAAAACAGAACATAATTTTGTTTTTTTTTAAACTGAATTCTAAAAGATTATTTACCGAAGTTCTAATAATTGTTTTTGTGCTTGTTCTAACATTGTTTGTAATGTTGTATTATAAATTTTCCATGTATTTGCTCCATAATCCCACATTAATTCAAGATTAAGAATTCTAAAGAGTAGTTATTATTATTTTTTTTATTATACTTTTTTTCATTTTTACATTACCTTGTTTGTTGATGTTCAAGTTGAGCATAAGAATTTTCAACACATTCATTCCATGCTGTAAAATCAGTTTGTTTACCGGATGGTGGTGTTGGTAATTCATAACTTTGAAAAAAAAACAACAAAGATATCAAAATGAAATTTATAGGAAAAAAAAGAATTTTTATTATTATACCGTTTCATACTTAACATTTCCATCGGTAATCGATTAGAAAGTCGTTCAAATTCTGTTTTCATTATTTCTGTCTATAAATTAAAACAAAAATAAAAATTCAATATTTAATGAAATTCAGAAATTGATATTACTTCAAATGAATGATATAATGGTTGACCAAGTTGTTCTAAATAATTTTTTGTTGGTTTATAACGACGGGTTTCGTCTTCTACTAAACTAAGAGCCTAAAATCATCAGTTAAGTTAAGTATTGAGAAAAATAACAAGAAATATGAACATACAGCATCACGTGCACCTGGTTCATCATATCCACTATCATAATAAGGTAAAGCATCTACAATAACATCAGGTGCTGGTTGATGTCCATGAACAGGATTTGAATGATGTATAGCAAGTGCGGATGATGAAGAATTTGTCATCTTTCAATTACAAGATTAATCACAAAGAAATGAAAGATATTGTTCTAAATTGAATAATTTCAAAGAGAAAACATGGAATAGCATTTTTGGATGTTTTAGCGAATCGATTGACATGAATGGAGATAAAGGTAAAGAGAGAGGTCGCTCGATGACAGTGCTTTATGTACTTTTTCATATATACTTCTGTTATAAAGAAAGTAACTAAACTTCATTAGTATTAGAAAATCGATAGCAATATTTTTATTATTGATAAGTATGTCCACGTAGTGCAAAGATGATAAGTAGCGTGACACCTTCCTACCCTTTTCTCCTTCTGGAATTCATCTACACAAAATCATTTTGTATTTAAAAACCGTCCATGCAGCGCCTCATTTATTTATGATACAATCATTCTGTGTCCGGTCATACCGTAGTTTCATCAAGTTGTAGGCAAAGAAGCGACATAGCCATAGACGATATGTGTGATCGGGATCGACAAATGTGGTATTTAATGGAAAAAAACGATTTGAATAGTGCAGCACAAGATCTTTATATTCCCAGGCGAGCAAAAAATAAGGGGTGACGCCCGACATGACTAGTCTAAATTGTCCGCAGTACTCGTCTGGACTAGTCTAAAATGTCTACACTGCCGTTTGGACTAGTCTGAAATGATTTGCAGCTAGTCAGGACTAGTCGTCTTCACAAGTAACGTCTTGCATCTAAAATAGACTAGTCCAAAACATGCTCTAATCTTGTCATAGCTAGTCCGTTTTGTATGTGCATACTGTCCAGACGCGTCAACTTGAAGGCAAAAGCTAGAAGAAACGGAGACGATAGGTCGATTCGAACATTCTAGCCGACAATATTGGATACCTGACTAGTCTAAACTGTTTTCGATAGGTAACGCGGACTAGTATGAAGAGTCATCTATATTGGTCATGACTAGTCGTTTTCGAGAAAGTAATGCCAATTCTGGTCCAGGCTAGTCTATCCTTCCAAACAGTCTTTATTGCTTGGGCTTAATCATTCGGACAATTCGTTTAGACTAGTTTGTATTGGGACTAGAACGATGTATCTAACGAGAGTTGGCTATTTATGTCCTTTTAAATTTTTACATTGTAATAACAATGAAGAATAATTTTATTCGAAAAATTAATTTTAATGCATTGATATGAGAATATTATTTTATTTCAATATAAAACCTAATGATTTGAATTTAAAAAGGGATTTAAACGGTAGAATCATAGTTCATTTTCAAATTTAAATAGGAAATATTTTAAATTAAGATAAACATAAACCATGAGATGAAAAGCGAGATTTTTTTTGAAATGTATATTATTATTTTGATTTTGATTTAAATTTGAATTGTTTTTTCCAATAGAAAATAATTTTTTCCATATGTCGATAATCAAAAAAAAATTCTGTTGAAGGAAATTAAAAAAATTTTGAATTAATTTTGCTTAGCTTTATTTAACTAATTTTCGATTTTATTACAAGTAGTTTCTATAAATATTAAAACTTGAGAAAACGCTGAGTCAAACTGTAGTAATTAGTGTCTTCAGATGTGTATTGACATGTAAAAGTTGATCACTAGATCATATGGCTCAATCGGGTAGACGACGAGTAAGTAACACAAGGTACGCATGAACGAATCTAACTTTCTGCACATATTTCTATCATTCAGACTAGTCCGAACTAGACCGCTACATAAGACTGAAACCTAATAGATGTCGCGTCATAAGCGCTCTGCCTTTTTTAATTTAAAATCTATTTTCGGACGAGATGCCCCGACGAGGTTAAAGATTCCAAACCATTTTGGACTAGTCATGTAGTAGGACTTTTTGAGAAAAAGACTAGACATGACGCATAGTCACGACTAGAAAAATGACTAGTCTTTTTACCCGTCCTTTGCTCGCCTGGGTAGAGAATTTTGCTCCCATTCAAAGTGATATTTATCAGAATTTTCCCCCTGTCTATACTTGCTGGAACAGTCTCAGCGTTGGAATCAACTCTAAAAATTTGATTTTAAGTGTTTTTTGATTAGATTGAACGGGTTTCATCGCAATCAAAAGATCCCGTAAGGATGCATTTGATATCATTCTAGCATAAATATCGAGATCAAACGAATTCTAAGGATACAAGTCAGTACTACTGTCGTTCATCAGTGCAAATGGTTCATTAAGAGCAGCTTAAGTTGACTCTCACTACATTGGTGTTTTATTTCAAAAATATCCAACATACATGGTTGATCAATGAATACGAACACATGAAAGGGATACGAGAAAATGAAGAAACAAGTAATATTGATTATTCAATGTTTCTTTCTTTTTTTTAAAATTAATCATTAAAAAAAAAGAGAACGAGTTACATAGAGTGAAGTGTGTGTGTATGTTCAAATGTTTAGCGGCGCTGATAAAAATGCACCCAATCAACTTCCATTCGACGAGGAAAAATATTGTAATCGATGCCTTGTGCACCACCCCTGAAAAAAATGAATATGTTTAAAAATTTTCTGAAATCTGTGTCTTCTTCGCTTATTTGAAAAGCTACCGACAATTTCTTTTTATTCAACATCATATGATCTAATGAACTTTCCTTTTTTTTGTGTATATCTGTGTACTATATGATGATGATCATGGGAGAGTATTCGGAATTTTGAGACATAATCAAAAATGAAATTCCAATTTTTAAAAACTTTTCATATCAGTATTGATATACTCACCAACTGCCACCTACGGCAATATTAATAAGAACAAAGAATGGTTTATCAAATGGCCTAAAAATAGTACAATTTTGTTTTTTGAAATTTTATTTGTTTCGAATATTTTCATGGCGGAAATTGATATCTTACCATTGTGTCCAATCGCCTTCTTTCTTCCAAACTAAGATACTCTTAGCGAATGGATTTGCATCATCTCCAACGAACATTTCAATTTTATCTACATTCCAATCGAGTGTATAAATTTTAAAATTTGAAACAGCATCATTGACAGTTACGGTATTAGTTGGTTGGTTGCCTCTCATATGATTATATGCTTGTGTGTGTACAGTTGCATGAATACTCAATGGATCATAACCAACTTGTTCCATCAAATCAATTTCACCATTATCTGGCCAATAGGTATTACTGTATGTTTGCTTTTCCGGCAACTATCGTGTATTTTATATAGATTAAAAAAAAAGAAAAGAAATTCAATAAATAATTACCATCCAAAGAGCTGGCCATAGACCACGACCATCAGGTAATTTGGCACGAATTTGTAAACGGCCATATGTCCATTTACCCTTGCTCTTGAGACGAGCCGAAGTAAATTGAGAATTTGCCATGTTTTCCTGAAAAAAAAAGTATATATGTGCAAGACAGATTCAATACAATTTCTTGCTCTACTCTTACCCGACGTGCCTCAACAATGAGACGGCCATTGGTACTGCCTGGAAATAGTTCACAACGTGCATTTTCCAATCGATTATTTGTGTAATATTGTTGTTCACCATTGCCTAAATTAGTGATGTACATGCATGATACATAAAATAGAAATTGTACAGAAAAAAATATATTTACCCCAGCCATTTCCACCGA